GACTTCCTCCAAAAGTCACGCGTCAAGTCTCAAAAACGAGCGTTTCGCACGAGACTGCCTCCACAAGTCCAGCGGAAACACCCATCGGAGCACACACATCACGCAGCCCTGCCAAGCAATTTCGCGATTCCAGCCCCTCCAAGCAACACCCGCTCACACGCCAATCCCAATGTGACAGCGACATTCACCTCTACCACAACTCACAACCTCCCGATTCCCTGCGCCTGCCACGAATCTTTCGCACAAAGTACTGCGCCTGCCACGAAATGTCACCTCCGTCACACATCGCAACCTCACGATTCCCTGCGCCTGCCACGAAAATCCCACTTCCACAACTCAAAGCCTGCACAAAGTCCTGCGCCTGCCACGAAAAGTAACAATGTCATCTCATGTGAGCTTCAACAAAATTTGCACCACACCACACGTTTGGAATGATTTCGACCCGTTCTGAGCACACTCCCCTCCACCCAAATCGGCATTTCAGCTGAGACTTGTCACGAAAACAGAGCTTCGATGCCACACCCTGAAACGCAAATCCCAATGGCACGGCCACATCCAACACCCCAAAAACACGACTCTCCAAACGCTAATCCCAATGGAACTGCGCAGCAATCTGCAGATCTCACCAAACGCTGCGCCTGTGCAGCGAAACGCATCACGTTGCTTGCGCGACATGTCTTTTTCATGCAAATCACAATGGAATAGCGGCGCAAACTGACACGTGACACATCCATGAAAAGTCACTTGCAAAAGCTTCCCCCAATGGCAGCGCCTTAGCGCTCTACCGCGAACGGTGGCGAACGGTTGCGGACGGTTGCGAACGGTTGCGGACGGTTGCGAACATAGAAACAACGGGTCGCGAACAAGGCTCTACCCCCAGACCCCCACAAAACCCTTCGCTACGCATTCGGGGAAAAAAACAGGACATCAATCAAGAATGACTCCCAGAAAGCAAAAGCAATCTCATGTCACAGAGATTATAGAGAGTATAGCTTCATTGTCTGGCTTCTAGCCTCTTTGGGCTTGGCCAGAAGCCGCCATACTATATAATATACTGTAATGGTGAGGCATGACCTTCCCAGGTTCCACAATGCTGTTGCCATCAGCTTTAGACAAAGATTTGCCAAGCCTATTGGATAGGGTCCCAGTTCAGGTCTCTTAACCTCTCTGTCTCTCGGCATGTGATGGGAGGGAGGACTACGAAGATTTCGCGATATCCAGACGGACACTGTCCGCTCGCCATGGGAGGGTCGCGAGGAGATCTCCCCTTTGTTTCTGCATGCACAATTGGGAACACCCCTCACCCTGCTTCCGAAAGTGAAGAGTGCTGGCGTGCCATACATGTGAGACACTTGTAGTTCAGTTCAGTCCCTTCTTCATCGTTGAGGGTTGGGGTTGCTGGGGCGACTGCTGGGGTGATTAATAAGTGAGCTTCCCATGTTGTGTGAAACATCTTCACCAGCACCACGGATAATTTTTGGGTGGGTAGGTATTGAAGGGAAACTAATTGGTCAGGGACATCAAACAAACCACCCGAACTTCGTGGTGCCAGATATGGAATGATATTGATATGTCGATGTCGACGCTGATGCTTTCCTTGGTCCAAAAATCTGTCCAACCCCAGACTATCCATGGGACTGGAATCGTTACATTTACCCCATGACATGATGCCAATGTGGGTAACTATTCCAGTCCCATGGATGGTCTGCGAGCATCCCCCACCAGTCCCTTTCTTCGGGTCCTTCAAGTTCGCCCGGGCTGCTTTCACATCCTCCCGGCGTACCCGAGTGAGGCATACCCACGAAGAGCAGCTGAGGGCTCGATACAGAAGCAGCCGTATTTTGGTCTCGAAGCTTTGAACACATGGCTACCAGGTAAAACAACACAGTAGCTTTGTGGTGAAGCTAGCTGCTAGCTCTATTCCAATGACCGGGTCATGTGGTAGTCATGTGATTGAAGGTTCGAAAGCAAGTATTCAATCATACCCTAAGGGTCCAGGACCATCCTGAGGATGTCCTTTGACCTCCCAAGACCATTCTCAGGAAGTACTTTCACCTCCAAGACCATCCTCAGGAGGTCCCTGGACCCTATGGGTATGACTACCCTTCCAGGTGAGGGCTCGCACTCTTCTTTGGAACCTGCCAATGTCACTAATTGTTCCTACCACAACCCTGAGGGATTGAGGGCAAAACTCGATTTGACACCTAATTAAGTCAGTCAGAGGTACTCAAACATGACCGATGGGGCTGGAAGATATGCCGCACTGACCTGCACCGCGCCCATGTTGGCAACTACTGGAATGCATGTAGTGTCTGGGTTAGGTCGACAGACCGTCAACTACATGGTGGGAAGAGTCGAAGCTTGGGAACTCAGTGCATACGAGCTGAACAAATAACAACTACCGCCATTTCATCTGCTACACTATATAGCCTATAGCATACCAAACTCCAACCAAACGGTTTGTCCACTTTCAACATGTTGGTAATATTTTTGACACTGCAAACCATCTTTAAAAACATAATATTGCGATCGTTCATCTTCGGCTGTAGTTGTTCGTGGCCGCATACTGACTTTATGTCTTCGGTTACTACCTTCCACACTAAAGACTAAACCATATAACTGCCCTTGAAACCCGTTCAAAACCATTAAAACCAAAAACAACAAGTTTCATTCTCACCGGTCCCAGCAAAGCATCACCCTCACCGTGACCGATCCGTCATGCTTGTTTCTTCCGTCATGCGCCGTCACCCGACTCCACTCAGCGCCTGGCCTTGGCGTAGTCCTGGTCCGAGGCCCACGAGGCTTGAGACGTGCGGTCCCAGTCCTCGCGCTTGGCGAACCTGCGGTCCCGTCATGGTTTGGGTGTCGGAGGACTGATGGGACGAAGCGGAGTGGGCGAAGCGGAGGCTCACATAGATGACATCTGGGACGCCCCCCCAACAAACACGGGCCGAAGCAACTTGGCTGTGTTTTGCGGGCACCATGGAAGGGCCAGAAGTTCGGCGATCGGCCAGAGTGACAAGTGTTGGGCGCCAGGGGGGGTTGTCTGCCAGCCAAGGTGACAATTCTTCCATGCCTTCAAACAATGAGCACGAAGACACATCGATCTTGAGTCTATCCCGTCAGTCGTGTGTCGGTCGCAAAAGTTCATGAGAAATCATATTTGAACAACAGCACTTCCTGGACCAGATTTCAAGTACCCTACAAAATGGGACATTACCTTATTGAACATTCTTGCGCCCATTTCGCTGGGTGCTTTGAGACTCCTGGCTAACAAACAACACCCTGATTCAGATTCGCTCCATAGTTTGCATGGTAGAACACAGTGGTTCACTAAACCCACCGGGTGGACCCATGATTTAACGTGAGGACTACCCGGAAGCTCTGTCAACGGATGTCAGCCAAAGAACACAACTGGTCCTCTTACATGCCAAAAGACTTCCTCAAATCACTGAGTTGGTTTGCAGGCATTGCCTGGAATGCACATCTTCAAGTGCGGACTCTAACTGCCTCCTTTTCGGTGGGGTCTGTCCCTACTTTCCACAGGATGTGGTTGGAGCCCGAGGGCATCATGTTCAAACACTTTGCGTTTTCCCCCAGATCTTGGAGACAACCCGCAGTGAGTGGGAAGTTGTAGCTTCAAAAAGAAACACTCAAAATAGACTGATTCTGTAGACGAGATGAGACCCTTCTAGAAGGTTCAACAGAACACATTGGCCATCTCCCTCTCTCTGCTTGCCCACCATGATGTCTCACAGTCTTTTTGCCCCAATTGTCACCCATTGATCAATTTAGAACATGGTCCTGCCGCAGCCTTCACACATCGTTGTTCGCCTCTGAAAAACATGGAACACTAGGATCCTAGTATACTTTTGGCATTTGATCCTCAGAACTCTCAGCCCCCATGCGGAAAGAACACCCAAACCCCCGCCGCTCGTAGTGGCTTGGCAGTGCCGAAGGCAATTCGGGCGACAGGCCGCTCGGCTGAGGTGAGGCCGGTGGGGAAAGCCTCCGATCTGGTCCAGTCCTCTTCGGAAACCGGTCTGAAAGCTTCCAGAATCCGGTGAAACCGGTTTTTCCTTGCAAACCAAGTCTGGAGAAACCTGTGGGAAGCCCCAGAAACAAGTGCTGGGAAGTACCTACACTGTGCAACTGAGCAACTCGAAGACTGTAGAGGTGAGGTTCAGGGTCCACAGTACTTAGCTTCAACCTCTTATGAGCTACGCCTTCGCAGAAAAATGAGACCCTGGCATGCTCATTTCATCCACCAGCCTATAAATTTAAACAAATGGGTGTTCCAATAGGGCAATAGAGATCTTTTTACATCCATGTATTTCTGGGTCACTATGCTATGTTTCCACATCACTCACCTGTCCCATGATGCCCTTCAAAAAGGCATCCATGTGTAGGTCCTACAGTGTCCCCCTGCTGTACAGGGTAGCGCTTGACCTTTTGGGGGGTCACTTTTCTTTTCTTGATACGTGCTACAAGAACAATTCCACTTCAACCCGTCTTGTGTCCACTTGACACCCCCGATCGTAGATGTACAAAAACACATGCAAATTAATCAAATATTCCTGGACCCTCCTAAAGTACCTGGAAAATAGAACATGAACATATAATATATAAACAAAACCGGTGGTATTTGCCTTGCACCCATTGTCCAATGTACTCTGAGACTCCTGGTGGGCTCACAAGGGCTCACATGTTCCACCTACTTTCCAGGGGTCTTCCTCCTCAAAGACTGGATGCCACGCCTTGAGGGCTTTTCAGCGAACGGCAAGGGTGCCGTCAACCTGGTGCTTGAAAAGCGCAGGGAGGAGTCACATGACGCTCGGTGGAGTGAGACAAAGGACCATGCGAAGGACCATCTACTGTAGACCATGCAATGGCAACTAACATGATGCAAGAGGACCACAAAATCGATCATGCCCGCAACATGCCCTCGTCCAGTGCCTTCATCTGCTATATTCGTGACTCCCACCCCGCAATAACATGTTCACATCACAATAGTACACCACGAGCGAATCATAAACCAAAATATATGCAGGCTACCGCAACCATGCAATAATAAACTACTGTCAAGCAAGTACTTTTTTGGCGAGTAAATTACTGTATAAACGAAATATATACTGTCAATGCAATTATTGTAAACTTGACTTACTCCTCTACAGTAATAAACCTGCTTGTCTAGTAGGTTGCAATAATAAACTTGACTTTCTGCCCTACACTAATAATAAACCATAATAACCTGCTTTTGAGTTTATGTGGTGTATCAGAATCAAAAACAAAAACTTGACTTACTCCTGTACAATAGTAAACCAGTGAACCTACGTTAAACCTCTTAAAGACTATAGTCAATTCATAATTAAGTAATCGCTTAGTTTTTATTATTGGGGGCATTGCGGGTAGTTTATTCTTGGACATGTTTGTTGCCGTCCAAGTTTCAGTAGGGGTATCTAACTGGGGATCTATTATTGTGATGTGAATCCAACATAAATTACACTATTCATTATCTTATGACCACGTCCAAAACCACCGTCCCCGGATCAGTCACCCAGATCCTCGCGCCTGGGGCTGGGTGACTTGGGCGGTGGGCTACGGGGTGCCAGCCGCCCCGCCATCGGCGATGCTGCAAGGGGGCGCCGGAAGGTGAGCGCCCGCGGAGAGAACGCAGTGGCTTCGTCAGCGCCTGGGCCGTGGTCGAGTTGGCGAGAAGACAGCTCGCCACCTGAAAGAACAGGAGGTGGAACGGAACATACCCTTTTTGAGGATCCAGTCGTACCTTCTCAGAAGGTACGACAGGACCCTCCAAACCTACGTACTTTAACAATGTCTCGAATCACCTGAGAAGCTAGATGGATCCGGGAATGTCTCCAGTTTGTCTCCACAAGTTATGAAGAAACTGTCAAGTTCGAAGCCACCGGCTGAAGTCAGTTGCCTCGACGTGTCTCGGTGAAGTGGCCCGGTTCCGCCTTCTTCTGGCATCTCCACGGTCCTCGGCGGCGGCGAAAAGGCCTCCTGTGCCTGGAGGCAGTGGGACGACCCAGCGGCGTGTTTCGAATGAAACCGATTTGGTCTCTCCATGTCTCTTCTGTAAGCCCTACAGGCGCAGTCTGACCCTTTACTAAAGACAATCTTCTCCATCGCGTATCGTGTTTTTGGATTGTTTTTCCCGAAAGCATTGCGAAGGGTTCTTCCGGAACATCCCTTGAACACTGACACTTCGACACTTACACTTACACACTGACACTTCCACCACATTCGCACTACATACACTGACACTTCGACATTGACACTTGCACATACACACTGACACTCGGCAAGCACGCAGTGTAAGTATACAAGTGATGGGTACGCAAGCATGCTTTGAGCATGCAAGCATGCAATGAGTAGGCAAGTGTGAGTATGGAAAACTAGCACGGGAGATGTCCTAATGAAAAAACATTTCCCCACTATATAAATTCTCTCTTAAAGGCGGAGGGCGGGACGAACAGCGTCAACCGAAAGTGCA